GGGGAGGGGAGGGGAGGGGAGGAGAGAGGAGAGGAGAGTGAGCAGAAGAGTAGAGGCCAGCCATGACCACGTGGAAAGAGGGGGAAAGGCAAGGGGCAGAGGGAACCTGCAGGCAAGGGAGTAAGGGGAGCAAGAGAGAGAGGGGGGGGGAGGGGGCAGGCAGCCCCTTTTATAGTGGGCAGGCCTACCTGGCTGTTGCCAGGTAACTGTGGAGGTGGAGTTTAGACAGAATACTAACACCGAGAAGCACCTAAAGAAATGTTCAACATCCTTAGTCATCAGGGAAATGCAACTCAAAACAACCCTGAGATTCCACCTCATACCAGTCAGAATGGCTAAGATCAAAAACTCAGGTGGCAGCAGATGCTGGCAAGGATGTGGAGAAAGAAGAATACTCCTCCATTGTTGGTGGGATTGCAAGCTGGTACAACCACTCTGGAAATCAGTCTGGTGGTTCCTCAGAAAATTGGACACAGTATTACCTGAGGACTCAACTATACCACTCCTGGGCATATACCCAAAAGATTCTTTAACATATAACAAGGACACATGCTCCATTACATTCATAGCAGCCTTAATTATAATAGCCAGTAGCTAGAAAGAACCCAGATGTCCTTCAACAGAGAAATGGATACAGAAAAATGTGGCACATTTATACAATGGAATACTACTCAGCTATTAAAAACAATGACTTCATGAAATTCTTAGACAAATGGATGGAACTAAAAAATTTCATCCTGAGTGAGGTAACCCAATCACAAAAGAACACATATGGTACGCACTCACTGATAAGTGGATATTAGCCCAAAAGCTCAGAATACCCAAGATATAATTCACAGACCACATGAAGCTCAAGAAGGAAGACCAAAGTTTGGGTGCTTTGGTCCTTCTTAGAAAGGGGAACAAACTACGCACGGGAGCAAATATGGAGTCAAAGTGTGGAGCAGATACTGAAGGAAAGGCCATCCAAAGACTGCCCCACCTGGGGATCCATCCCATACACAGTCACCAAACCCAGACACTATTGTGGATTTGAAGACGTGCATGCTGACAGGAATCTGATATAGCTGTCTCCAAAGGCTCTGCTAGAGCCTGACAAATACAGAGGCTGATGCTCACAGCCAACGATTAGACTCACCACAGGGTCCTGAATGGAGGGGTTAGAGAAAGGACTGAAGGAGCTGAAGGGGTTTGCAAACCCATAGGAAAAACAATAATATCAACCAACCAGAACCTCCAGAGCTCCCAGGGATTAAACCACTAACCAAAGTGTACACATGGAGGGTCCCATGGCTCAAGCTGCATATGTAGCAGTGGATGGCCTTGTTGGGCATCAATGGGAGGAGGGGCCCTTGGTTCTGTGAAGGCTCGATGCCCTGGTGTAGAGGAATTCAAGGGTGGGAAGGAGGGAGAGGGTGGATAGGGAAACACCCTCATAGAAGCAGGGGAATGGGGGATTGGATAGGAGGCTTCCAGGGGGACTGGGAAAGGGGATAACATTTGAAAGATAAATTGAAAAAAATCTAATAAAAATAAATTTTAAAAAATTCACCTTAAGTGGCTAACTCTGGGTAAGACTTGTGTCAGAACATTTCTCTGAAATAAGACCCTCAGGATGATGTAAAGTTAATTCTGTGGAATCCTTACATTAAACACTCAATACAAAACTGAGCTTCAGATGGACATTCTGCAAGCTAATAGAACAGTATTCAAAACTTAAGAATTGTCACTGCTTGACAGAGGTAACAGACATGGCAGCTGAATACAATGCCTGGTTGTATAACAACAACAAACTTCCCAGTCACTGTGGGGAAACTGATGGGATTCAGCTCCTGTGTCACTGTATCCTGTGCCTCTGCACAATGTATTAGGTTGCAGACATTCCATTATGGAAGCTGGTCAAGGCATCCATCTTGTGATATTTCTGTGAGACCAAGTGAATTTCTACATGAAATATTTGTAATTTATACAAATGATTTGATTTAAAAAGTAAAATCTAGTCCTCTATTTCATGTGCTATATCAATATTCTCTCAATTAAAAATGCTTCAGTGAAAATACAAGAAGAAAGTAAGGAGAAATAACTTTTTGACCTCAGAGCACACAGCACACAGCAGGCATGAAAATAAAGCCATAAATTGAAAGACTCGCATATTTAATTATATAATTTTTGTATAAATTTGCATGATGGAAAACACAATCCACAAAGTCACTGGATTAAGACGAATATAGAAAAAGCTCATTCATTATAACAAAAGAATGATACTTTAAAAAGTAGATCCTGTCAGTAAAGATGATGCCAATGTGGCAGAAAAATACAAAAGTTACAAAGCAAAAAGCATAGAAAAATATAAAAATGCCCCTTAAACACATGAAATGATGGAAATTAAAACCACAGTAGGATAGAAGTGTTCTCTTGATGGGTTGGCAAATGGCAAACCATATGATAGCATTGCCTCCTTGAAGGTGGCAGGGGTGTAAACTGGAACCACCATGGTGAATGAGAATTCTCCAATACTCTTCTACCTTCACCCAGCCGTTTCCTAAGTGTATCCTAAAAATAACTGGTAACATGAATAGACAACAAATCCAAGTGTGCTCACTGCCAGCATATTTGTTAACAGAAAGTGGTTGCACATATCCTAAAACCTCACCAAGAGCAGGCTGGGTAAATGAATTAAGGTCTATTCCTACGAGGGATGCTGTGCAGTAAACAGAGAGGACATACTTGCTCTGAATGTTACTCATAGGGAATGGCCTCCAAGGTAACAATGTTAAGTGAAAAGCAAGGTGCAGAACCAGACAAACACAGAATTACGTTACATGTACCGTTGATTACATGTAGATTGTAATTTGTTGGCAACACCAAGGAACAACTTGCTTCTGGGACTTTTATGGAAAGCCTGCTTTAGACTTTACAGACATTAAGTTTTAAATTTTTGACATGTCAGAGAGAGAGAGAGAGAGAGAGAGAGAGAGAGAGAGAGAGAGAGAGAGAGAGAGGTCAAATGAAAGTAAATGGGCTACAGAAAGAGAAGAAGCTACACCAAGTTAGAAAGAAATCCATGCCGAGAGTCAGGCACTCGGAAGTCAAGACAGAAGAGAACTCACTTAATTGTCGGGTGAAATTCAGTTCATTGGACAGAGCCTTTCTAGAGTTCTGGAGTTAGGCAACTTCTGAAAAGACCAGTGAGAGGCCAAGACAACAGTGGGAAGGGAGAAAGAGGCAGATTCCACTGTTTCTAACAGAGCTGACCTGATATGCACCCCACTTACTGATATCCAGGAACTAGATATCTGTGTCATTTGCACCCTGAGAAGGAAAGGTTCTGACCTCTAATGCCCACCTCACAGACAGGAAGACAGGGGAGGAATCAGCCAGCCATTGCTCAGGATCCTGCTGCATCTCCTAAGAGTTTGAAGGATTTGGGTGTGGTACTCTAATTCATCTGCAACAGCTGTATCCCTAAAGTAGAATTGAAATGGCTCAAAACTGGAAAAGGAGGCCACACCCAAGGTGAGCCACCGCAGGGACAAGGCTACAGGACAGCTGTCCTTAATGAGCACCATGATTTGTGAAAACATTCCAAGACCATATTCGAAGCAAATCCTTGAGAATGTCACCTTTAACACACTCTTAAGCACACATGTGTTAGCATGCCCGCATGTATACATGCCGATACAGACATATATTCACTCATTTGCACAAACACACACTCACTTGTTACATAATTTGAGTTCAGAACTGCTCTATCAGTGTGCCTCAAGCATGCTTATGCATAATGATCAGAGTCTAATAATAAAACGGAAAGTGCCCTGTAGCATTTATAAATAAAGCCCACATTTGTCATAGTTACTTGGAATTTTTAGCCCAAGATCAAGTGAGAAGAACAAACTAAAAAAATAATTGCAAGCCAAACACACTTGTCATTGCATTGACTAAAGAGGTTTAAAACTCCAACACTGTCGTACTTGGAGGGGAAATGGAAAGCTGATATCATGAACTGATGTTCCCATAAATTAGTATGTAAAGTGAGGGACGTGGGTCTCATGAGGATGAAGCAACATCTTGCATTTTAATGGGCTAAGCAAAAATGTAGTAGACAAGAAAGCAAATATCAATGAATTTCCAGCTATTTAAACACTAAGTGCAGCTGCATGCTAATTGTCAGTATTATGAAATAGAAAAAAAAAGAGTTTTAACTGGAAATTTAAAAAAAAAAAGTAGACTCACACATGCACCAAAGATAACATTCAACCAGAAAAAAAGATGTATTAAAAAGAAAAAGTTTAAATGATTTTTAACATCAGAATATTCCATCAGCAATCACTTTATGTTCGGGGAGAACAGCATTGAGAGAGAATCAAAAGATGACTTTGGGAGCTTGTAAAGTTAGCTCGTGGTTAAGAGCACCTGATGCTCTTCCAGAGGACCCAAGTTCAGTTCCCAGCACCCACATGGTGTCTCACAAAACATTCATACATATAAAATAAATGTTTTAAAAAGATGACTGTGTGTCTGAGATCAGCAGTTTCCAGTTTTAGAATTAAGTGAATCATAAAAACACTTGTAAAAACAAAAACATTTGTCTTTTAACAAATAGTAGAGCAAAAACTATTTCATTGAGATCCACTATCAGGGGTAGGAATAGTGGTTTCTAAATAAACTTGTACTAGAATGTCTGCCTTCCCAGTACATCAGAAGACAACATATTGAAACAAATACAAAGGTGTCTTTTGTAGGAGCTAAAGTCACACATCTTAGCACCTGCCTTGCTGGGTTCAAATTTTGCCTCTACCACTTCCTGCTGTGCAATTTTGCCCTCTCAGGATCACTGTGAAAACCACAGGGACTCACACACTCAACAGGGCTCCGAGGGCTGAACACACACTTAGTCGCTTCAGCCATTATAACTGTCTTCAACCAAGACAACAATAGCTTGGAGCAGGCATTATATTCTGGTAAAATGAACAGGAGAGTGAGGAGAAGTGCTGACCAGCCATGCCATTGCTAGGAAGGCAGCACCAGCACCAGCCTCTTCCCAGGACCACTCTTTGATCAATGGGAATGGCGAGTGTAGACCAATTTTGAGTGGAAAAAGCAGAAGTAGCCCTGCCTTCAAGATGTCACACAGGTGGCTCTAGGATAGAAAGAGGCATCAATCCCCAGCTATCTGAGGTCATGCTGTGATCTGAGCATGTTTTTCTACAACACCATTACCCCACATGGGATGCCTTGTCCACTGGTCAGACACCTGACTCATCTGATCTTGCTACAGAGCCCTTGGGAAACACTACCACATGTTTTACTTTCCCTTGTATTTACCAAGGTCATATAAAGGACGTGGCACAAAAATCAAAGTTGACACAAAGAGGCTTCATGCCACTCTTTCCCTTTAATTTGCTGGAAGTACTAGACCTCTGAATAGAAGGGAAAGAGCCAAGGCTACAGGCGTCTTGGCAGGGCGACAGGCCACCAAAGAGATGTGAATTCCCGAAAAGTAAACACACAAAGCTCAGGCTGCTCAGCACCGGCTACAGTCCAGGCCCACTGTGCCTGGACTGGCACTCCTGCCAAGGGACCAGGGGAAAGCAGTGGGTGGGGGGAAATCACACACAAGCTCCAGCCAGCTATAGAGGAAGACAAGGGGGCCCTGCCTGTGTGCAGCCATGCGACTGTAAACCTGGACTCCAATCCAGCAGGATAGGATGCTCCCTGCTACCTATACAAGCCCAAGACACAGCTGGACAGTGAGGCCCAGCCAAGTCCTGCAGGAAGAGAGATGAAATCAGAGTGACATTAGGCTATATGCATTATGACAGCTGTGTCACCGACTTCGTCTTCGCCTTCAAAACACAAGCTCAGGAAGACTTTTCCAATGGAAGTTTTAGGGATGCCCAACACCAGTTACTGCACCCAAAGTCATTAAAATAGTTGTGATTCCTATGGCAGAGAAAGACTTCATGCTGTGTTCAAATGATGATGAGTCAAGGCAAACATGAACAAAAGGAAGGCAATGTATCATTTACAAGGAACCAAGGCTTGTCCCTGGAATAAAACTGTCCCGTTTTCACATTTAAATATCCACAACAGATTATCTGTTAGCATGAACTGAATTTTAAAATAATACAAACGGATTAATTTCCTCCTGTTCTTGAATGCCCCAGGAAGGCAATAACCCTCCCCAAGAGGCACTCAGTGGTAAGAATTGTCAGACAACCCCATTTTTAATCCAGTGGTCACCACTAACTTACTGTACAACCATAGACATATTATTTGAGTTTTCTGATCTCAAGTCCCCAATGATAAAATGAGTGGTTTTTTTGTTTTTGTTTTTAATCTTCCCAAATTCACTCTCTACTCTAAAATTTCATATCCTTGGTTCAAATCTCAAATTTGAACCATCCTTGTTCAAATTTGGACATTATGGTCCAAATCTCAGTTGGAGCCTAGAAACACCCCTGAACTCTGAGCTACACAACTAAAGACACAAAAGTGAGCTTTTACTATGAGCAGGATGTGGGTCTGAGAAAGCAGACAGAACACTCTGAGATTTGATACCTTTTCCTTCTGCCTGCCATATTTAAGGGCTACTGTCTGAATACCATTTACTTTCTTTTCATTTTTACAGAACAGGAAATTTAAACATGCTAGACAGTATAGGCACCTAGCCTTGGACTGAAAGACAAGTGACCCTCAGTGACCCTTAGTTGTCTGCAGGGTCCCCAGAGGTTCTCGAAGGCTTACCTTCTACCAGCTGATCCAGGCTGGAGATCTTCTTGAGTCCATCTATGGTATAGATGGTTCTCACCCCCTGGGGCAAATTCACATTATCCGAGAGAGTTCGGGTCAAATCAGCCAGCAGGGCCTCGAAGGATCTGAAGCGGTCTGGGGAGATGGCATACACAATTCCTTTGAAGTAGCGGTCGCCATTTCTGTAGAATCGAACCTTCTTGGCTTTCTTCTCAGAGCTGAGCGTCTGCAGTGTGCGGGTGCGGTAGAAGCTGCAGTGGGCGCTGTGTGTGGGGCTGGGCAGGCCATTCACACGGGACCCCCTGCTGTACCTCTGCGCCTTGTCTCGTTCATCAAAATGCTCCAACTCCATATCTCTGCCGAATGACATGACTGGCTTGCGTATGGAATCTGCGAGTCCCAGAAAGAAAGACAGACGGGTTACGTGAAGATCGTGGGTTGAGAGACTCTGAGAGCAGCTGAGTTTAAACACTGGTAATGTATTTGGGTTGTGGAGTGGGAGAGAATGAGGAGGAGGAGGAGAAGAAGAAGCAAGGATCGGAAAAAACAGATCTCAGTGGTAACGGCCTATTACTCAACCACAGTTAGATTATCCGCAACTCCCACTATTGCCTGCCTGTCATCCCTCAGGCTGCAGTCACATCCTCTCAAGGTCTCACCCTCCCTATTTATAGATAGAGAAACTGAGGCCTAGAATACTTTCTCTTAAATTTCCCGAAGTAATATTGTTGAAAGATATTTCAACCGAAAACCCCTCTACCCCCACACCCTAGCCTTTGCCTGACTATAGTGCTCACTATGAACTGTGCCCGGGTAGCTTGCCAATCCAGAAGCAGAGACTTCACATACTAAGTAAGAGGGCGGCAGGATGAGGAATGGAGGGAAGTGAGAGGATCAGATTGTAGACGCTTTAATATGTGTGAGCTTCCGTGGACAGGTGGAAAGAAAATTAGATCAATCTGGAGGTTCTGGGCACTTCTAAGAAAGACTTTGAACATAAACATGTATCCCATATGCTAAAATGTGATTTCATCTCAACCCTTTGGTTGTGCTTAGTAATAAAATGAGATAAAAAGAGAAGATGACAAAAAGATGGTCGGGGAGAAAGAGAGAAAGGGTGAGATGCAGGAAGGGAAGGAAAGGAGGTAGAAGGGAAAAAAGATGTGGTTAAGACTGGTGAACACGCCTGACCTGGTGCCAACTGTCTACCCTGAGAAATCTGCTTGATCGGCACCTGTAAGACTCAGTTACAAACAGGAGTAAGAATGGTAGATACTCCATCGTGCAGATTCTCTACCAATACAAATAACTCTTGCATACGAGAAGTATTGATTTATTTACAGAAAATGTGCCTTCAATGCCTGACCTTGGCACAGAGATAACCAGGCAAAACAGAATCATCTACTACCCCTTTTTGTGAGGAAGGCATCTTCTTATTGGATAAGCCCACTCTTGCTGGAAGAAATATCAGTGTTTCAACACAACCTGGAAAGTTGGAAAGCCTCCATCAAAAGGGTACATTTTTCATGTTAAAATTTCAGGCACACTGAAACAGACTATATGTGAGGTAGAAATCTGAAAGAAGAACTAAACTTCCTGCTACTTCCCAAGTCACTGATGTGAAGTTCAACCCAAACTCAACAAACTGTCTGCTTCTTCTTGTGCTTTTCATTCACCTTCAGCAAACTGACCCCTGAACCATTCAGAGGGAGACAGAGTAAAGTTTGCTTATCAGTTGAAAAGTCAATTTAACTTAAGATTTGTATAAACTGAGCATGATGGGCCATCCTCAGCCACAAATAGTAAGTTCAAGGCCAACCTGGGCTACACAAGGCCCTGTCTCAAAAAGCTTTAACTTAATAGTTACTTATCTAAAACTTACAATAAGAAAATTCACACATGAAATCACAGAGAACTTGTAGAACCATTCCAGAAATGAATCAAGTGAAAGGAACCAATACTGATGACTCGACAGTTCAATGATCGGCTATCTGAGAAAAGACAGAACCCTTATCTAAAACTCACATAGCTCCAACAAGGCAGCTAGACTCATCAAAGCAAGGTCTGGGAAATGGGATTTACCCAGAGTCTCCAAGACACAACGGAAGGAGTTGGATTTTCAAGTTTGATTTATCGGGATTCCAAAGTTAGTGTTCTTGCTCCCTGACCCTGTGACACTAGGTTCTGTTCTTATGAGAAACATGAGTTTTGAAGCCACCACAGCTGTCTAGACTTTGTACTGGACACCTCTCTTCTGTTGTTAAGTCCACTGAGAGGCCTGAGAGCACAGAGGAAGCATAGTATAATCTAAACTCTTAGTTTGAGCTCAGAGTGCCTTCACTTCAAGCAGAAAAACTGTCTCTCATGCCTCATAAATAATCAATTGTAACCCCAATTCTGCATCTTTAAAAGATACTAGCTGTGAAGTGGTTTTGTTGGTTTTTAAGTAAATAACTTTAAAATAGTCACCACTGGGACCAGTCCTGTGGGTATTAGCTGTGTGACAGAACCAAAGTTCTGCTCTGATATTGGTATCTGTTCCTACTTTGTTCATATGTTTGTTAAGTAGTCGGTCTTCAAAAAGGTTGAGTGAGGAAGGGGGTGTGGAAGATTGTGATGTTATCCTCACACACTAAGCTTGTCAGAATTGTAACAGTAAATGCTATGGTGACTTTTGATTGTGTTTGTTTCCTTTTTCAAAGCACTGGCCAATTCTTCCATTCCCAGGGGCTTCCTCCCAAGTTGATTTAAGCAAGAAGGAAATAAAGAGAAACCTAGCAAAGAGTGGCACAGTTATGTGACAAGAGATGGATGACATCAAGTTCCAAGGGTCTTCAGTGGGTCACAATTGGCAAAAGCCAAAAAAGTCTTGGCAGCGGTTCGAACTGGGAATGCTTTTGGGACCAAGAATCCACACTAAACGTTTGAAGATCTACTTAAAACAGAAGGGTTTGTTCGCTTTTGTCACAAGTTCACCCAGGGCAGGCATTGCATCTCCTACTTCCAACCAGTGAGCAGGCAGTGATGGTACCAGCATGGCAGAACTATGCTCAGAGTGAAATAGCTCTCAGAGCCACAGCTTCTGCCAAATGAAAGCCAAGACCCACCATGCGCACTTTAGTCTTCTGGAAATCATGTGTGGAATGGAAACAGGTGCCCTCCCCTCGCCTCTGCCGGCTCAGCTTTCAGAGTCTTAGTCATACATGTGAACTAAGAACTCTAGGAGAAAATTCTCCCGGCTTCCACAGGTTCACACTTCCTACAGAGGAAGCTACCTAGAACACACTTGGCCAGTATTCAGAGTCTGGGTGGCTAGAAGCCTCTGGATACAAGTGTAGGCACCAAGAAGGTGCTCCGAGCCCTCAGCCACAGAGACTACAAATGTGCGTGGAGAAGGGCATAGACTCCTTCTATAAATATTACAAAGCCGGAAAAAGCAGCGTTGCTCGTTGTGGCATTTCTCACCATTCTGAGGAATATCTATATTCACCTTTCTGTGAATGAGCTCCCATTTCAGCAATTTAGAAACACACACACACACACACACACACACACACATCTAGCATAAATCCTAGCTATCACATCTGGAAATCCCAAGGCGTTATTTTAGCAGTTGGATTAGGATTCAGGTGGATAGAGAGGCATGGAATAAAAGACGTGCATGTGTATCTCCTGAGTGCATGCACCACCCCAAGCCAGCATATCACAGGATGTGCGAGCATCTTTTAAATTTCCTAACATATAACCTCTCTTGAAATCCCTCAATTGAAATTGATAACCTGCATTCATGAAACATTCTATACCTAAAATGCTGCCCTACTTTCCTTTCCCATTGAAAGGTGATATATTTAGGAACAGTCATGACACGGTCCCCACCCCACCCCCCACCTCTGTGCCCCCTTCGGAACACCCTGCAGTGTGGCAGCTGAGCACGCGTGCACAGTAACCTGGGCACACATTCACAGCTGCAATCAGAAAGGGAGCCCTGTTTGAATGAAACCTTCTTGTTGCTTCTCTCACCCACAAGGATTTCCTTGCCAAATCCAGTGGCGATGCCTCACAAACCTGGTTTTCCAAAGCAGCCTCTTTTGTGGGGCAATGCGGCGCTGTGTGTGCGCTCCCTCTAGGAGGAAAATGTCTTTTCCTCTCTGCATGCTTTTAGCACTGCAGGTATTAATTTGTACACGAGGCTGTCTGGCTGTCCCCAGAGGAACTTAAGACCATGCAAAAAGGTACTTGCAACGCCTACACTGCAGCCCCCATCACCAGGCACATGCCACCCTCCTGGGCACTAGGGAAAGCATCCACACAATAAGAGGCCAGGCCCAGCCACTCCTTCCTTGCCCACTTGGTCCTAGCTCCACAGCCAGTCCTGACAATGACAAGCTCCTCTCCCAACTCCTCCGCGGCTCTCTATCTCCAACAACAAGGCGATGCAAAGCCTGGAGGGCCCAGCCCGCCAGACTCCCTATTTAAAGCCGGTGGCACCAGACAAAAGAGGTAGGAGCCAGCAGCCCTAGGGCCGCGGGCACACAACGCCTCCTGGCCGGACCAAACTAGCCAGCCCAGGGCAGCCGTCTTTCGAGGAACGGCGGGCGGGGCGGCTGCCGCCCAGTGGGGTCCACCCTGGCCAGGGTTCCCAGGGCTGCGGTCAGACGGCACCACGGGGCCTGCCCGCACCTTCCCCAGCCCAGGCAAAGCACGCACCGGTCGCGGGTGGAGGCTGGGTAGTCTGTAGCCGGCTGCTGGAGCTGTCCTCGCCGGGCTGGGCGCGGCTGGGGCTGCGGAGCACGAGCGTCTGGAAGCTGCGGCCGCTAGTGCACGGATGCGCTGGAGCTAGTCCTCATTGAAATGCGGTTCTCCGCTCAGCCTCACTCCAGCCTCTCTCCCGAGGAGGGCGGTGGCGCGCAAGCTTTTCTTGTGTCTCACTCGCTCACATGCCCTCCCTTCTCCCTCCTTCTCCTGCTCCGCCCTCCGCCCTCCTTGGCAGGGCGCGCCCACCGTGGCTGAGTCCAGGGTCCACCCTCCTCTGGCCAGGCTTCTGGCTGCAATGATCTTGATGGTCTGAATTGCCTGGACATCCCTCCCCTCCAAACCCTCCCCAGTCCATAGAAGGACTTGCCAGAGGATGGGAGCAGATTGGAGGGTGGCTCAGGGAACTGAGAAAGAATATGGACAGAGATGGATCTGAAGCAGTCATGTCCTGGGCAGAGAGGTGGCCCAGTATTAAGATTGCCTTCCTCAAAGGAGACCAGAGGAACTCACCTCCAATAACCACCCCCACCCTATATCTTTTAATTTGGCATCATGGTTTGACACACCCTTCCCAGGAATTGGGAAGCCAGCGGGATTGCCCTTCAAAATTGCTTTTTCTGAACTGTCCTGAGGGACCAGTTCTGGACCCTTCATACTAAGCACTGTGAGGTAATCCTCAGTACTCCTACTTGGGAAGGGCCACATTCTGCTCGTCGTCTGCGATGGACCCCAAGACATGAGTCACTGTTGAGATGGTGACCTCCTGTTTAGGGATTTATTTCACAATAAGCCTTTGATAATGTAAGGCCACACTTAGACTGCTCTTGGAGGCCTCTTGGCTACAAAACTGGCAGTCTGTCAGGGTGGAAAGTCCCATAAGCTTACACAAGCCTTCCCTCCCCGGACAAGAATGTTCTCAGAACCCAGATGTTCACAGCTTTCTCTGGATAAACGTGTCCTTTGGATACAATTCTGGGGACTAGGAGCCCATCCCAGGTATCTCTGAAATATTTGCATGGCTCAGTATGCACCCTGAATATTTAAAAAAAATGTCATTAGACAATGCATAGATGTATACCAATATATGTATTTGTTTGTCTTACTGACTCTGCTGCTCAATGGAAAATACAAAATTAATTTTCCCTGCCCACTGAGTCCAGTTATGTATTTTACTATTTATTATTCTGAAATATGCTCCCAAAGTATTATGTTCATGCTAATTACCCCTCGTTAGAAAATGCAGCTGAGATATGTATTACATATTTAATAAATGATGGGATATCTACTTCTGAGCTACTTCAGAGGCCAGAGATGAGCATACAATGTATTCACCAAAGTAACTAGATGCAAACGTATCACACTCTGCTTCTTCAAGTTCTGATGCAAAAGTGAACCCCAGAGGACAGAAAACAAGTCTGCTTTATTGAGACCAGGAGTCAGGAACTCTGCTTATCTCGCCAGTGAGGAATCCCGAGGGATTTCTGCCAAGTGTGTAACTAATAGAGATCCTGCCTCAAACTGTCCCCCAATGGACATGCTGTCAAGGTCATTTCATTTTGTAAATGATTTATTTATTTCAATTTATCACAATTCTATGTGTATGAATGTTTGTCTGCATGTATGTATGCACAGCACATGTGTGCAGTGCTCCCAGAGACCAGGAAAGGATGTTGCATCCCCTAGAACTAGAGTTGCAGGTGCTTATGAGCCACTGTGTGGGTGCTGGGAACCGAACCCAAGTCCTCTGCGAATGTAATAAGTGCTCCTACCCACTGAGCCATCTCTCCAGCATTTCATATGACTCAGCCACATCTTACCATTGTCCTAGTGTGACAGGGTCTGCTTAAATCCAACATAACTCAAACACCAGGTCAATAAAGAAGACAATAATATATTGTAATCAAGCTGCTACTGATCAATCAGGGCCTCAGAACAGACTCGGGAGCTGAACTGAAGCAAACAGCCAGAATATCACAGGGTATTTAAGCTCACAAATCCTAAACATCTGTGCCAAGTCATCATTACAGTTTTCCACCAGTCAGGATAAGAGTTGGTTCTTAGGCCTGGATCATGACCTTAGGTTAACCCTGTTAGCAAGATGAAGTTGTCCTTAAGATAGATATCTAGACTCAGACAACTGTTTTCTTACAAGTTGTCCCTGAGATGTTTGGACTCGGACAAGTGTCTCCTTCCAATAGAAGCTGTTCAGCTATTGGGAAGTCCCCAGTTCCCCTAGAGTCTAGAACCTTGAATTTAGTTTGCCCTGTGATTAAATGGAGCCTGAAAACAAAATGGCAGTTTTTAGAACAAGTTGGGTTTTTGTTTTTTGCTAGTTCCCAACACTAGAATATTTACGTGAAAAATGAAAATAATGTGTTAAAAGAAACAAGATCGTGGTTGACTTTTTTTAATGGGAATATCTCTAGACATCATTTACTTTCTCCCAAAACTACAATACAAGTAACAAGTAAGTGGATGAATACCTTCAACAGTACCCTGGCCACCAAGCTATGGCTGTATCACAGCAGGAAAACATGCTGGGTAAGCCTAAAGTTGTCCCAAGGTAGCTTAAGTCTTTAGAGGATATAATTCATATTTTATTCTTTGAGAATTTCATACAAAGTATTCTGATCATATTTTCCCCTCTGCCCTAATTTCTCCTAGATTTACCCTCACCTCCCTACCTAGTCAGCTTCATGTTTTCATTTAAATCCACCCAGCTGTTATATAACAGCTTCTTCCAAGAGTGAAACATTCCATCCTCCAGGAAGCTCCTTAAGCAGGTAGGTAAAGTGACCCAAAATAGCTCCAGAAAGTCCTGAAACCAGTCAGATTTACTAACTTCTCCCTGTCAGAGTAACCAAGTGCAGCTGAGAGTCCTTCTCAGACAAGCCAAACTGCAAAGAAGACTCTGAGACCAGACCCCCTGTTGGAAAGAGGTTTAGGTCAGAGGTACTTGGAATGAACATTGTCCACCCAGTTGAGCTGCCTGCAGGCTGTGCAAGGTGCTTTGGTTTTCTTAGACTTTTTGAGCCTTCACCTATGCTGAGTGAGCCTTGGTGATGCTCTGGGTGAACAACTGTCTTTGAGTCATTTCTACTCCTGTAAGTAAAACTCAGTGGGTCACCAAGTTGGACATTGGGTATCCAAACACTGGTCTGCTGTGGGTTCCCAATCTGGAGTAAGTAGGTGTGGGTGTCGCATCTCCCAAAAATATCTTGTCCCACAACACCAGTCCAGTTTGTGTTTCCCAGGTACTCTTGGGAATAGGGCCTGCCTTGTAATGTCATTTACCTACCAGGGTCACACACAGTTAAACAAACAAACAAACAAACCAAAAACTGTCTCTTTCCCAACAGAGGATGCCAGCAGATCAACAGCTGGAGTGGGATATTTTTATGTCCACCTCCCAATTCTGTATTGGGATGCAGGATCTCGATATGTAACCTTGGCTGGCCTGAAACTCTCATACAGACTAGGATGACCTCAAACTCACAGAGATCTGCCTGCCACCATCTCCCTAGTATTGTGTCACCAAGTCTGGCTCAAGAAAATTTTTAAATTGACATTATTCTCTTTTGTAAGAAGGAATTGATCCAAAAACTGACTGAGTGTATATCTATATATCTGTATCTATATCTAAATCTGTCTATCTATAATCTGACAAGATACATAACAGGTGTAACCTAAAGAGGGGGGAAGATTTTTCTTGACTCAAAGTTTCAAGAAATATAATCCATTGTGTTAGTAAATGCCAAGCCCAGCTCCACTTTCTAAAACTTCTCATGTTTTTAAATTCAAGTTAGTTTTACCACTGCCTTGGTCATTATGCATATAAGGCAACCCCAGATTCTAGTGTGTTATGTAATCTCCTCTAGAAAATGCAATCTTTGAATCAAGGAGTTTATCAGAGCTGAAGAGATTGCTCAGTGTTTAGAGCACTGGCTGTTCCCTCAGAGGATTCAAGTTTGAATCCCAGCACCTACATGGCAGTTCACAATCATTTGTAACCCTAGTATCAGGAGCTCCAACTCATTCTTCTGTCCTCCGTGGGTACTAACCACACAAGTGATACTCATACATACATGCAGTCAAAACATCTATACACAAAAAGATAAATAATTTTTAAAAACCAGTACTTTCTATATAACTTTAGAAAGTTATACAGCCCAGGTCCATCTGCCTAGATATAGCATCACACATAGTTATCTGAGTCTTCATACACTGATTAGCAATCAAGAAACATACCCCACAGATTTTCCTACAATCAATCTGATGAAAGAACTTTCTCTGTTGAGATTCCCTCTTCCCAGATGACCCTAGCTTGAAGTAAACCAACAGAAAACCAACCCACACAAGACCTTCAGAATAGTTACTGTAACTGCTCACTTATCTCTGGTAGAGCAGTTCAAACATTCTAAAGGCCTGGGTTACATAAGTTTTTGGATCTTTATAAGAACCAAGGACCCATTTTGTACCAGTAAGCCCTCCATCAACTCACTTTCCCAGGCTTCTTTCCCTTTTTCTAAGAGAAATCTGCCTTCCTGTGAGTGAACTCTTTCCAGTGCACTCTCGACCCACACCTTTGCTCCTCAAGTACAACTGAGTTCTACTTTCCTGGAGTTTTCCTATTTGTCCTAAAACCCACCTTCAAGGGACTCTGGCCAGCTCAAGCAGCCATGGTAAGCATAGCTCTGGGAGACCTTGCCTTTCTCCCCATTCCCTCTGCAGAAAGCTAGCCCCCAAGGTCTATTTCCTTATTTGGCTTCTTCCTCCTCCAAAAGGCTGTCTTCCAGCTCTCAAAGTATTGAAGTTCAGCAATCAAAAGCCAGTTTGGTTCACCCAATAACATACCCAATCAAAATATACCACTACATCCTAGCCCATTCTAACACAGACCTCCCTTTTTCTCTTCTCAAAAATTACACTTGCAAGGTCACTGGCTGATGTTTTTCTGCCTGAGTCAGAGAGCAGTCACTCGAACTTTTCTTCCCTGCTTAATAAAGGCTCTTTCTGTGAGAACAGGTGCTTGGGTGTGGTTTGTGCCTAATCCAGGAAGCCCCGCTGTCCTCCA